AGTACTGTTTCCGATATGAATAAATAATAAAAGTAACAAGCATAATTTTGTAATAATTGGAGGTGAGATTTTCAGGTTGATAAGAGTATTATTTATGCATCTGGGACAAATAATTCTTTAACCTGCAGTTTCCCGTCTACTCTTCTGCTCTCGTAATGACAGCCAGTTTGAAAAGTATCATGTCCTTTCTATCCCCGTTTTGTGATGCACCACAATGGCGCTCTTCGTAGACGCGCCGTGTCCTTTGTGCCCCCCGCCTTTGTGCCGTGGGTGGGTGGCGGCGCCGCCGAGGCCGCGGGCGCAGAAAGCCTCGTCAAGGTGGCCGCCAGACGCCAACAGCGGAGGCCCTCCACGTTCCAAGGCTGCCGCGCTTGTCCTTCACTCCAAACAGCGCGTACAACAATTATTTGAACGTTACTTTGACAAATGACATGAAATGATGGAAATCGGCTCACAAATTTGAGTTGCAGATTTGGTTTATTTAGCCTTTCGGCTATTTGTTCCATGAAATACATATTTACATACATTGTTAACATCTTTAAGAACACTGTATTAACTATTTACGAAATTAATACTCTTCTTAAATGTATTTTATAATTTTGCTTTTAAATTCTTTAATTTATTCACAATATTTTATTTCCAACAGTAATTTTAATTTCAACGGTTAAACTTTTTTTAATTTTAGTAATTAAAATCCTGTATCAAATAGTCAATTTTTTGCCTATATAATTTTACTGAAATTAATTACTAATTTTGGGCTTGCCTTGTTTTCTCTTTTACTCTTTGTGTGTGTGTGTGTGTGTGTATATTTTGTTTAATAAATTTCCTGTTATCTGATGTTTAATTAATTTAAGAATAAAAATTAGCGTCTTACTCGTATATTGAATTCTCTCTTTTATTGAAGTAAATTTCAGAGTGTCTAACATGGAGTGTATCTATTGCATTGAATTTTCACCCTCATGGCTATATTTAGTTGTATCTGAAGTTTTTTAATTTCATTTTTCGGGCTCTTTAATTTTTTTTTATAGTCGATTATTCCAAAATATTTCATTTTATATTCCCGTTGTATTTCCTTTAAGCCAGTTGTGAATAATTTACTTTCTCTTACTTTTAGGTTTCTTCCACTATGTAAAATCATAAACACTATTTTCTGCTGAGTAACTTTAAAGTATTTCCTTCTGAATAACTGTACAGTTAGAGACAATTCTGGCCAACAAAAAGAAAAATAATATTGATTTCAACAATTTTTAAATTATTATTTGTGATTTGTAGTATATAATTTTAAATGATCAAATACGCCTTCGACAAATATTGTTTCCCAGCTTCTGTGTCAATGGGACCCATTTCGATTAGATTTTTCATCTAGTTTCCCTTATCCTTTAAGTAAATCCAGAGATGGTCCATTATTTGCTTCTGAGAATAAAATAAATGTAGCTCATTAACAGTGTCCTTTTTGTTGAAATCAGTGGGGATAAGACATTCAAATAATAGTTCTCCATGTTCTTGTCGCATTAAGCCAATTCTGTCACGAAGGGCACGGGAAAGAATAATAGACATAATTTGTGACTTATTTACTATAGTAAATATTTTCTATTACATGGAGGCGAAAATGTTCTTTTGAATTCTTCTCAAAAACGCTCGTTGCTACCTGTGTTCATTATTGAATTTAATTTAGTATATAATGGATTGATAGAGTTTCTTGTTTCCGGGCGGGTCAACGGATAAGGTGATTATGCCCGTAAGTGTAGTGCATGCTTTTTCGCAGTAGGGGCGATGATCTCCGCTGCTAGATGGCGAGATCTGGCCCCAACCAAACATCAGCTTACAGGATTTTTTTCCCAACCAGTTACTACCCATTATCGGAGCACCCAGCCGGAACAACCTCCAAGTTCCCGACTGATCTCCAGACATGTGTGGTATGTTCGGGTAAGTGCTTGTAAGGGTAAGTGTGTGTAAGTAAGAAGAAAGGACAGGTCAAGGAACAAGAGAAAGAAGAAGAAAGATGGCGTGCGGTCCGTGGCCTGTTTGTTAGGGTACTGCTCCGGCATTCGTTTGGTGTTGATCAGAGAAACTTCGGGAGCGAAATTCGCGAGTTACCATGAGAGCAAAAATATCTACTTTTACAAATGTTGATAATCTAGCGCCATTTTAAATTTTATTATTAAAATTGTTTATTTAAAAAAATATTCATCTTTCACATATTTATAGTTTAAATGTTGGGGAAAAATTCTGGAGCTCAAGAAAACGAGCGCAGATGTTACTTCTCTCCCATACGACAGATACAATTTTTACTGTTCTTTAATTACATCGATTAAATCAAACCACTGGAAGCTATCCATCAGAGCCGATAGAATTCATCTCCAGACATTGGCAGAACCTACCTATCTACTCATCATTGTGTCATTACTAGGACTCGACCCCACGACCTCCCGGCCAGAGGAACTTCAGTAACATCAATAGAAGCCCTGAGCCACTTATGCCAGTAATTTAGAATATGAGTTTGGGAAGGAATCTCAGAGTTTAAAAAATCCCCCCTAGTACGTTTTTAACGTTTTTTGCCGTGAAATAAATACGTGGCTTGGGCTAGACGTCATGGCAACTATTTTTACGTAAAACATGTTACGGGAACACACAATTCTATTTGTCACAATTTTATTTCTCGCGTGAAAGAAATGAAGTACTATTGTGTGCTCTCAATAACAGATGGCTTTTTGAGTGGCTCTATTAGCACCGAGTGTAATGTGAAATCATTTGTCTGACTACCGTCGCGCAAGATGAATGTAACCCGTCTCCTACATCAAGATGGCAGTGGGAAATGTCCTTCTATCAGGGAATTGGTGGGAGCTATTGAGAATAATGTCTTTCCTTGCCGGGCAGTCGCGAGATGGACGGGAGAGTTTGAGGGAGGACGCGTAGCAACCTGTTATCTGCGTAACACAAACCTGCAAATGTTTCAAATTGACAGAGAACGGGGTCACCGGGAAAAAGATAGAGAAGGCGCGTAAACGAAAAAAAAAAGTATTCGCAAATAATGAAAATTGTATTCTATTTCGTAAAATTATGATATTTTTTTACAGGTGGAACACAATTTGGTGTTTGGGAACTCTGAAATACTTAAATCCAGCGCTTCCAACCCTCGTACGTAAACAAGGGAAGGGGTGCGATCGTGTGCTGGAAGCCTCAAGAGGGGGGACTTATCATTATAAATCAATATATCAAAGGAATCATTATAAATACTCATTCAAACCGTCACAAGGATAATGAGATATAGAAAATGATACTAATATTTTTGGAAATGCTCTCAGATACAGCTTATGTCAAATAATAATCACGTTTCCTATAACATTCCTGAAGAGTTATTATTATCATTGGTCGTCAAAAAAACTTAAATTTCTGAGCGTCATACTCAGGGCCGGCATAGTGCACAATCAACCCAAGGAGCTGCTTGCCGGCACACTTTTGGATGACATTTCAAGAATAAAAATTTGATGAAAAAAAACAAAAACAAAAATTATTATTCGTTTAAAAAATTAAATAGTTAAAAGAATAACGCACTCAATTCTTTAAAGGAATAATATATTTAATGTCATAAAATTCCGGTGTTTTATTCTCGGGTAAAGAAAATGAAGGCGCAATGAAAAATGCTTGGTGTAACTCTCCAGATGTTTTAATACCATGTCTCATTTGGTTTAGTTGCTTAGTACGGTAGGATTGTGTATTTCTCAGGAAAGTTCTTTAAATGTGTCAAAATGAAAAATCCATTATACTAGTTCTGATGAATATGTGGGACATTGAAATGGATCGCGCAGCAAAATGAACTTTGTTATTAATACTAGGGACTCCTTATTCGGAATATTACATTATGATTAGTTTTAAATACGGATAAAGCGCCACTTCCCTTCTGAAGTATTCAAGCTAATTTTTTGGCGTCAGGTACACCATGCTATCGAGAATGACTTTTAACATCCAGAAACTAAAAACACACAAAAATCCACAGCAGAAGATATTGTTTAACCAATTTCAAAGAGAAACTCCAAGAGTACGTTGATTCTTGTGATCGGGACACAAAGTAAAGGAATGTAGATATTATTATTCACAAATCATTATAAAAATATAATACATTTGGATTTTGTTACAATATTGAATATGTATATTCATGAAAATCTGTGGAGAGATTATCAGCATTTAAAACACATTGGACTGTAGGCCCTAATTTCGTTGAAGTGATAACTTATAAAAATTATTCATTAAATCTTTTTTCGTTGGTAGTGATATTATAATGATTGTATGACTTGTGAATTCTTTATTTACTATAGATACTAGGGACGGTCTTTGTAATCAAAATAAGTAATATAATAATTTTTACAATTATTAAAAATATTAAATAACGTAAAAAATCTATATAAATAAAAATTATTAATCAGCAGTAGGAAAAATGTCCGCTTATTATTTAATAAAAACTTAACTAAATAAATAAGAGCAATTAATAATAGTTTTTATGCGGCGGCAAAATACATTGAGCCTGCCCTAATCCTACTATTTAGAGAAACTGCAATTTCAGAATATTGTTTTGATTTCTGGACTCTCTACCCCAGATCTAATACACTATTGTTTAATTACAAATATACTAGAGAACAACGAACCTTTTTAGTAAATATCCAGAATTGTACCCAAAGTGATGCAGGCAACTCAACAAATTGCTGCGAGATGTTGAACGATTCTTAAAAAAACACATTCCTCACTGCACTCAAGAAAATGTGTTCTTATTGTGAAAATACATTTTACATGTCAGATTAGTGCTTTCGGAAAAAAGAGAACAAGATTGTTGGTGAAGCCAACATTATCCAAATCACGTATTTTATAAATCTCGCAATGAAATTCAGCCCATTGTCACCGCCACAAGGACAGACCTCCGAGTCTCTAAGAGAACAATTGGCGGGCGTGGGTGCGGCGTCGCGCGTGGGCGTATAAGAGGCAGCCGCTGCCTCCTCTCAGCATCCACTCGCCTCCGCCATGGCCCTCTGGAAGCTGCTGAGCGCCGCTGCGGCGTGCTGGGCCGTGCTGGCCGCCGCCGCCCCCGCCGCGAGCCCCGGCGCCGACTTCTACGCCGCGCTGCCGCCCTCCTGCGACAGGTGAGCCCCGCGATCTTCATCCCACGACCTCGCACAGCCCCCCCCCCTCGGGGAAACCTGGCACCGTCAGGGAATTTCACTGACGTGGACTGGGGGATGCTGATGAGGTGTTGTTGACGTATAGGACAAAATATTATGTCATGCTTATTAGATTTATTCAGATTAATTCAGAGAACCGGTTTTCGGGGCTCTGCCGTCATCATCAGTCTAAAAATAATCTTATTAAAATACAAAATAACACAGAATATTAAAAAAATCATGAACAAGAATATAATACAACTAATTCTGATATAATTAATTAGAGAAATATTACATATGTACACAAGGGCAAAGCAACATTTTCTTCTCACGTAACTCTTAATTATTAGCTTGTTCAGATCTTCAAATTTCTACAAATACTTGTGAAAATACTTCGAGAAAATGCTTTTCATTGCAATATTAACTTATAATTCACATACAGGGTCATATAAACAACCTCCAGAAAACATGCATCATAGTATATATCAAATGCATAATAGTAGATATCAATCGTCTACCTCCTATTACATCCGATTGCGATGTATCATGATAAATTATGTAAAAAATTGCCACTTTCTCAATTGATACTTTAAAATAAGCATTTATAATACAAACTTGTTGGGCTAAAACACCGCATACATTCGCTATTATTTCTAACTTTTGCAATTTTCCTAATTTAGAGAGTTCAACGAACACCATTTTTAAGCATTTATTGCTCCATCTATGCAACAATTTTAACAAAACATTTGAATCACATATTTTATAAATTTTAGTAAATTGCCTCCACGTCAAGGAGGAATAACGAAAAATATTCGTTTCAAAAAATGCTTTTAAAACGAATTGTTTTTTGGATAAGATATCGTTAACAATATAACAGATATCATTAACCAAAAATATTGCATGTTTGCGTTGTATTTTTTGGTGTTACAATTTTCGAATACACGAAGAGTTGACCTAAAACGCAACCTGCGCCATTTTTATAATCATTAAAAACAAATTAAAAGCTGCTCTTCATATAATATATTTTTTTAAACTGTCTATTTTCACGCAAAATTATCCCAAAACGATCATATTTTCGAAACATTTTAGGTGAACTTGTTTCAAAGCGTGTCTTCAAACAACATATTTTATTATGGAAAAAATCGCTCTCATTATTCTTGTAGGAAGACGCTGAAAAAAGACGTTTTGATTTTTAAGAAAATCAGAGGTTTCAACGAAAATGAGGCTTACAACGAAATTTTTAAAGCGTTTTCCCCGCTGTCTGAGGGCAAACTTTAATAAAAGATTACACCCATTTGTGAGAACATTTAAAAAATGTTGAGCTTTCATATAAAGAACCTCCAAAATGAAAATATCCATTTCAAACTAGCAGGTCCTCGAAATTGTTCAAGTCGATTGGGAAAAATCAGTTTTGGCTAAAATCGTCTCAACGGTATCGGAGTTAACGATGACCAATGACGGACGTACAGAAAGACGTTTAAACGTCAATCGACTTTTCGGTATCAAGGACTCAGGAAACGTGGCTTTTGACTACATAACGTGTGAAAAAAAGCTATTACAAACACAGACACAAGATTTATACACATTTTCGTCAACACGGCCAGAGCTTTTTGTGTCGAAAAATATCTACGTTTCTACCGCACCTTCACGTATTATGTAGTAAAGTGAGCAATCGCAAGTAAAAACTAATAGTAGCATCCCGTCAAAGATATTCTTTTCCTTAATTACGGTATAGTGGATAAGGTCAAAATAGAGGACCAATGGTGACAGGAAAATGGAATGAAAATTTTGTTCCTAGCGAAGATTATTTAAAATTGAGCAAACCAACGGTATTTAATAGAAAAATTAACTTTAACAAGTATGTCACCATATACAAATGATTAAAAATTTCAATAGTGGCTACGAGGCAACGAAAAAAATCGATTTCGTGACGCCTTAATATGTGTCAGAGCCCAGTATACAAGAAAAAATTACCCCTATCTGTGAACAAACACATCGCTTCTGGTGCTGTTGATACATTGTGAGTTGAATTCTTTCAGCCAAATCTACTGCCAGGGCGACCTCCTGCGCGTGATTCAGAACGCCCACCTCTACACCGACTCCAAGACGTTTATCGACAAGAAGCTCCTGCAGTCGCCCGAGGACACGCTGGCGGATTTCGACACCTTCATGCAGTACTACAACAACGCGCCCACCACCGCCCAGATCCAGAGCTTCGTCGACGCGCACTTCGCCGACGGCGACGAGCTGGAGGCCGTCGACCTGGAGGACTGGGTGGAGCAGCCCGCCCTCCTGAGCCGCATCGCCGACCCGCAGCTGCGCGACTGGGCGTCGCAGCTCAACGTCATCTGGAAGAGCCTCAGCCGCAAGGTCAACGACACCATCAAGGACAACAGCGACCGCTACTCCATCATCTACGTGCCCAACCACTTCGTGGTGCCCGGCGGCCGCTTCCGGGAGCTCTACTACTGGGACACGTACTGGGTGGTGCGCGGCCTCATCCTCAGCGACATGACCTCCACCATCAAGGGCATCTTGGAGAACTTCTTCTACCTGCTCGACAACTACGGCATCATCCCCAACGGCGCGCGCGTCTACTACCTGCAACGCACGCAGCCCCCGCTGCTCACGCCCATGGTCTACGAGTACTACCAGGCCACCAAGGACGCGGCCTTCGTGCGCGACCACATCGCCTTGCTGGAGCGCGAGCTTGATTTCTGGTTGAAGAACCGCACGCTGCAAGTGAACAAGGACGGCAAAACCTACACCCTCGCCCACTACTACGCCCCGTCCAAGGGCCCGCGCCCGGAGTCCTACAGGTAAGCACTCGTCGCTGTCGATGGTGGTGCATGTTGAAAGGAGGTTGGTGGTGACTGCCCAAATTGGTTCGCAGGGAAGACTACACCAACGGCGAGATCTTCGCCGACGAGGACAGGAAAGAAGAGTTCTACGTCGATCTCAAGTCGGCCGCCGAGTCCGGATGGGATTTCTCCAGCCGCTGGTTCATCACTGACGGCACCGATGAAGGTATAAACGGCTATCATCTCCTCTTCTTCTCGCCTTCACTCACAGACCGACGTGCCCTTTTCTCACTAACAAAATCTGTGCAGGCAATCTAACGGCCATCCACACCAAGTACATCGTCCCTGTGGACATCAACGCCTTCGTGTACTATCACGCCGACCTCCTGTCCCAGCTGCACAGCGAGTTGGGTGATGCTGATAAAGCCGTTTATTACAAGCAGATTGCGACTCAGCTCCAGGAAGCGATTACGGCGGTGCTGTGGAACGACGAGTTGGGTTCCTGGTTTGACTACGATATTCTCAACAACAAGCAGCGCACGTACTTCTATCCTTCCAACATGGCTCCTCTCTGGACCAAGGCCTACGACCCGGTGCGTTTCACTGACGGTAGCCTTAGCTGAGTAGGTCGCCGGGGAATCGGTTGCTAACCGTCGGTGATGTGCCGGCAGGCCAACACGGTGCAGATCGCGCAGAAGGCGACGGCGTACCTCAGGGGCCTGGACCTGCTGTCGTTCCCGGGCGGCATCCCGACGTCGCTGAAGAACAGCGGGCAGCAGTGGGACCTGCCCAACGCGTGGCCGCCCCTCCAGCACATCGTCATTCGCGGCCTCCAGGACACGCAGGAGCCCAGCGCGCAGCAGCTGGCGTTTGAACTGGCGCAGCACTGGGTCGCCTCCAATTACAAGGCCTTCCAGGACTCGCACGAGATGTTCGAGAAGGTGAGTGCCGCCCCGGCTGCAGAGGCGAGACGCGGTTCACCGCGAGGATGCGCCTGACTAAGGGTCGCTTTGTCCTCCAGTACGACGCGGAGTTGTTCGGCCAGTACGGGGGAGGCGGAGAGTACACCGTGCAGTCGGGCTTCGGCTGGACCAATGGCGTCGCGTTGGATTTCATGAACATGTGGTCAGACCGACTTGTGGCTAATTCTACTTCCAGGTACGAGTAATACGCTAATTTCGCTTAATTTTTTTCAAAGTTGGATGTGAATTCTGTTAATATGCCATGTTACCTAATTACCGTTTAATTGTGTTTGATATTATTTTAAATTGTATTTAAATGTCGATTTTAGAAATTAATACCAATATTTAATTTAATAAATTAATTTATGTGTATTTTGTTACATGTGTTATTTTTTCCTAAACACATTAATTTTTACAGTTCATAATCCATACAGCGAATGAATTTTAATAATGGCCTGGAACATATGCGAATAACGTCTGCCTAACTAATCACTGATGGATGTGGAAGACATATTGACTTGAACAAGTTAGAAATCTTCATTTGAGGATAAATATATAATAGAGCTTTTCAATTGAAAAATGGTCTATAGAACCATTTAATAATTTTCATTTTTACGAGACAAATGTACAAGATTTCTTATGGAAGTTTACTTAAAAAACGTGTTATTATAATTCACGTTATATTCTTAAATGATTATTAAGACCTTTTTTGATTCTGTATGTATATTTGTCAATAAATAAGCATTGTGTATATATTTATGGTTTCGTTAATTACGTGTATTTTGCTTCCTTCCAACTTTAAGCACCCTTTCAATACACTCCTGCCTCATATTGTTAAAAAAATATTATTTTTTAAATATATAAATAAGTGTTGCCAGGTAGAGTTGACTCACAGACCGAACCTCATGAACGTTCATGTCATGAACGTTCTGGTCTGATTAGAAACAGATGTATCTGAGAAGTAATATAAACACAATATGACTATATTCTCTTTTCGATTAATTGTTAAAGATCGTGTCCAATACAGTGATGAGACGCTTATCATTAATGACATTAGAATTCTTAACTCCTTCTGGGTTGAGGGTTTAAATTTCATTGAAATGTGTAATGAAACAATGGAAATGTATTTTGTTAAAATACGATTAGTTTTTCTTTAGAGAATTTTCTTCAGATATGAATTGCTCCGGCGTAAACAGTTGCTAACATTTCCTCCAAAATTGTAATACGAGGGCTAATTGGCCCCTAATTGGTAGGCATTTGGCAGGCCGTGTGAGGTGTTGCGTTATGGTGCAACAAAATCACACCGGCTGTCAGTTAAAGAAAAAAGTGTGTGTGTGTGTGGGGGGGGTAAGTCATTTAATACTAAAGGAATGTGCATGAAATAGAATTAGAACACGTAAAATTTGAAAATTTCCCCACTTTTTTCTTTCTTTCAGTTCTCAGAATGTTAAATATATTTTCCAAAAAGTGTAAATTATTAGTAACCTTTATTATAATTTTGTTGTCAAATCAAAAAAATTCACGTTTTAAGGTTTTTGCTTTTCTTCTTGTACTAGAAAACTGATGATGATGGTTAAGCAATCGAAAGCTGCTTTTTTAATAAACAATATTGTTGGCAATAACGACGCATATAATTATTTATTTTAATATTACAAAACTCGCAAGTACATATCACATTAAACCTCTCCATTTCCGCTACTTCTCACTGTTCACACGTTTGAAACTGATGCTTCCAGCGCAACATTGACACTGACAGCGTCAAGGCTCGATCTAAAAGTGTTTCGTTATCGCGGTAACAACGGTAGCCCGGCGGGTTGACTGTCCCAGTGCAGCCTGATGCAAAGTTTACGTTTTTCGAGGGTTTGCAATTAAACCGTGCTTTCGACGTTGTTATAAAGATGTCGCTGGCAATAAAATCAACATTGACTCTTCCTAATATCATTCATACGAAGTTTCCTACTGTGTGCAGGGTTTAAAGAATATCTTGTATACAACGTAAGTAGTAAGTGAGAAAGAAATTATGCATTAAATAATTTCAAAAAGGTAAATATTATCATGATTCATAATGTTAATATTGTGGTTTTCAAAACAAATCTTCGTATTTTATGTAAATATGGCTTGAAAAAGGTAATTCCTTAGTATTTGTTCACGTTCAAATAATATATTTCAAACGATTCTTATAAGAACTCTCCTGAACGTCTCATGATAACTCCACCTTCATTTGAACAATATGTTCTGCAATTTTGGTGCAATCACTTTTCAGGACTTCAAACCTTTAATCTGAATTACTAAGAATACTCTTTTACCTTCGGTCTTATTTTGAATGCCCAGTCTTAGATTATTTTTACTCAAACACATTTTTCGTATTTGTAGTACCCCACCTACAAAACACAATTTAACTCATATTTTCGTCTAATAAAACGGGAAATAAATCATTCAATAGCAATATACCGATATGTAATGATTTCAATTGTGAATTACACAATCCAACTTGTAGAACACTTGTAGAAAATTAATAATACACGGAATTCTAATCAAAACCTCGAAATTTAAAGCAATTATTAATAAAATTTAACCTGTTCTAAGATTTTTGCCAAACTGTTCTTTTTGCTCAGAATACTACTTTAAAGATGCAAGTTTTGTATTAAAAATAGTTTTCTAATCATTCGAAGTTGTCCAATAAGAACAGAATAAGTCCAGGCGTTTTTATTTATTTCAATTGGTTAAACTACAATAACTCCGAACCCGATATGAACCTCATGTACATTTGCGAAAAAAAAACTCTTTCTCAGTGAAAATACGATACAAAAATATGATTTATAAGTCAGCCAGTATTATTTTCTCATCCTAATTGCTGAATATTGAAAGAATATTTTAAATACTCAAAGTAATTTTAACGATTCTGCTTTAATAACCGTTTTAGTCCATGTACAACAAGGAAACGATAAGAATATATTGCATGTACTCTGCTTTCCCCCACCCCACGTGCAAACGTAAACGATACTCTATCGCATTAGTAAACTCATAAAATGTATGACTGATCTTTCCTCGTTACTACACATTACGTAACAGCTCGTGGAGCCCTTGCGTGCGGCGAAGGTCGGGCAAGGGGCCAATGGGGCGCCGAGGCGAGCCGCGCCGTGCCGCGCCGAGCCGCGGGGCTGAACCTGACCCCGGCGCGGGGGCGGCAGCCCGCCCGTGAGAGCGTGCGTGCAGCGATGGGCATCTGGGCAACGGACTCGACACTGCCTCGCGCCCGCTGCCCACCGCCTCACCCGGCCCCAACGCGCCTCCACGCCCAGAAGAAACTCTGGATGGGCTACCCACCCAAGAACAGAATCAGCATCAAGTATTTTATAATCATAAATGGAAAGTTTTTTTAAAAATCGAAAATTATCATGATAATATCTAACTTCTTGGTGGTTTAGTTTATTATAAAATTACTGAACAATAATTTATAGTTTTTCAAATTACTAAACGAATTTCCTCCAGTAGTTGTTTTTAGGGTTGTTTTGCTGTTTACTGAGACAGCTGACAAAAGAGTTTATGTCCATTTGATTTCGTTCATTGGACTAAATGTATTATTAATTATGATATGTGTAAGTTTCAGTGTGATTTACAGAACTCCTTACTAAAAATTCAATGCATGTATTTATGATTCATTCATTTATTTATGTCAATCTACAACGTAAGTAAGTAAGTTGGTAAGTATATGCTGTAAATATATAAAAAGATAAATAAGCAACATGAAAAAATGCATTTAAAGACAAAGAGTTCATCAAACAATGATAACCCATTCAGGAATCATTGGAAAATTAATTCAGAAAAAAATTGGCAGTTCGCACCGAGCAGCCGTGCCGTGAACATCGTACGCCACAGCTCTCTCACTGCGTAGTGTGTTTATCAAGGGTTTCTGATAAAACGTTCGTTCTTGAGAAAACTGTGGATAACCAGTTTTTAAAGTTATATGTGATAATTTTGAGGAGAGGTGTCGTGTGGTGAATTTTTGGAAAGTGAAGATGGTAGGTGTTTTAAGATGGACGAAGGATCTTTAGGGAATCGTGATCTTAATTCTTTTGATGAACTATAACGTTTTACTACGCTTGAATATGTCGTACTGCGCGATTGGGAAGGATGAGAGAGATTTTGAGCATTAAGATTAAATATATTCGTAATGGATGATATAATAGTTCATTTGGCTTTTGTATGTGCTTAGAACCCAAGGAGCTTTATGATTCTATTCTGAGAAATTTATATTGTATTATTTCTATTTTATTTAGGTTTGTTTTTTGCGGCTTATTCGAGCTCGGGCAGGACCATATGTGAAGGGTTGTTCTATTTTGGTTTATAGAATATTAAGCCGCAGTCATGCTGATCCGGAATTTCTATTTATTATTGGAATATAGTTTGGATATTTTTTTGCATAGTTTTTATCTGCTTATAGATTTTATATGGTTTACAGTTTCAGTTTGGTGTCAAGTAGTACTCCTAAGTATTTTGCTGTTATTTCCACTCATCCATTTCTATAAATTTTTGTGTTTTGGAAGTGAGAGGAGGTGGTTGAGGAGGTTTTGGGGAGTGTGAATATTTTTGCTAATTTTTTAGATGCGTTAATCTTATTTTCCAGTTTGAAGCCCATTTAATGTAGTTATTAGGTCAATCTGTATGTTGCCGAAGGCGCAGCTAATGTCTGAATGGGAGGTAAAGAGTCTGTGACATCTGGGCATGTCAAAAGGGAATTTCTGTATAGTCTGACTGTGTAAATCCGACATGTAAGCATTCAAGAAAGTGGAGAAGGAAAAACTTGAGACTCCTGCATTAATTCTCAAAATCTGTTTGGAGATATGTGAGAATATGGACTGAAAAATATCTATTTTATAAAACTTTCTGATTAGATGGAGTAGAGACTGGAGTTCCTAGTTGCGCAGTTTTGTATAAAAGACCTTCATGCCAAGTTATCAAAGCTTTCTCAATGTCTAGGAAAACTGCAATTGTTATTTTTGCTGTGAAATGATATTTGCAATATATTCAGTTAAACGGAGCAATTGGTGGGTGGTGCTTATTGTGAGATCCTGAATCCTAACTGAAAGTCTGGATAGCGCTAATTTTTGTTAGCAAAGAGATAATCTGTGTGAATTAATTTTTCAAATACCTTTGCGATTGAGGCTTATTGGTCTGTAGCTTGTAGGAAAGCGAGGATCTTTGCCTGGTTTACAGAAGGGTAAGATATAGAGAATTTCCATCTTTTGAAATGGCGCCAGTTCTTATACAGAATTAAATAAGGTGTTAAAATAGTTATAGCCTCTTTGGGTATTTCTTAAGAGTCTGTTGTTAATATGATCTGACCTGTCCTGATGTTCGGGTTTTCAATTGTCTAATTATTTTAAAAATGTCGAGGGATATAAATTTTATTTTATCTGGGACACTATAGTCTGGTAACAGGACCAGTTTTTGTAAAATAATTAGTAAAGGAAGAATGGTTGGGTTGGAAGTAAAACTTTTGCAGATATTTACCTAAACATATTGGCTTTCATTATGATCCGTATAAGCTACATTTGAGTTGTGTGTAGGATAAGAAAATGTCAGTAGTTTCTTTACATAGTCTAAACATAACCCATCCTACCACCTCTACACTTACCACCTTCACAGTAGCACCATGAACCTGTAATCAGGTTTCAGATTTTCTGCTCGTGAGCGACTTAAAAATCTTAGGAGCATAGATCTTCAGGGTGCGAGAAAGGTTTGAACCCTATGA